AAGGTTGAAGGGAAAGCTTCCCCCAACCCTATACAGGTTTGCAGAAAACGAATTTACAAAAGACCTACTTACAGGAGAAAAGGCAAAATTTATCAATATGCACAGACACAAGTAGAGACAAAGAGACAAATACCACTGTTTGTCTCTTTATCCTTTCCAGATTTAAGATTAATAGGGGAAAAGCATTTGTATGATGAGTTTCAGGTATAGAAACTCTAGTGTACTTTGGTATAAATATTCATATGGTATGATTCTTTTTCTCCTACAAATAGTCTTTGTTTTTCTTTTGTCTTCCTGTGCTGTTTTGTCATAGAGAGGTACCATAGATTAGAACATGGGCCTAAAGTCCTTATAACCCCATTGTTCAAGCAAGCCTCTCACAGACTGGGGAGTTTTATGGTTCTCACCAGGTTCCCCTCTCATCTTGTTTTATATCCCTGAGAACTTGACTTAAGAAAAAATAGGAGCCCTCTCTATTGGTCTCTGCCATCTGAGGGCTGTGATTTTCAGGTCAAGTCCAGTGGCCAGTGGCTAAATGAATTACTATTATTTTACAGTGACCTGTGATCCCATTTTGATCAAGTTTTTTAAACCTTAGATATTTGACAAACTTCCAAAAATCGAAATGGTAAATTCTTTTTGACCTCAAACTAACTTTTGGACATTCCCAAAGTGCCCCTGAAAATTCAAGAGAGAAATATTAGCCTTATTTGGTATGTTAAATGATATGGGAAACATTGTCAAATAAGAAATGATGTTTAACCTTTTCTTTCAAGTTATACTTGTATGGATATTTATCAATGTCTTCCAAAATTATATGAGATTCCTAAAAAGTTGCCATGTCTTGATATATGTTACCAGTCATAATTATGTCTATTATAGTAAATTGTTGTAGGCCAGAGAAAATAACCAAATTTTCTTGTCAATTATGTATTTAATCATGACCATTTGAAGTCTTGTTGACCACAGTTAACTGCTGTATTCTGGTGCTTTTTTTTCTGGAAACTCTCTGCAAATCCTAAAGAGCTGTGTTTTCAAGGAGGTTCATGGAAAGGATAGAAAGAACTCCGACAAATACAGGTTTCTGATAACTTTGAGATTATATCATTGAACTGGGTAAAAATTTCCAGAATTAAAAAAAAAAAACCTGCACTCATAAAATTGCTAACTTACCATGAAGCAAAATGAATTTTAATTACATGGGGCTGAACTGATGCAGGACTAAAATGATTTATTATTTTATTTGTTTGAAACATTGCTGATTCATTTTGTTTTCAAGAGTTAAAAAAAAAAAAACACCTTTTAAGCTATTTATAGCTTATAGTAATTGGGTAAAGTATACTTTTGTAAACAGAATTGAAACCTTTACCTTTCCCTATACTGGATCCCTCCAGAATTCAAAAACTATTAGTGGCCAGGTGTGGTGGCTCATGCCTGTAATCCTAGCACTCTGGGAGGCCAAGGTGGGAGGATCACTCAAGGTCAGGAGTTCGAGACCAGCCTGAGCAAGAGTGAAACCCCATCTCTACTAAAAATAGAAAGAAATTAATTGGCTAACTAAAAATATATAGAAAAAATGAGCCAGGCATGGTGGTGCGCACCTGTAGTCCCAGCTACTTGGGAGGCTGAGACAGAAGGATTGCTTGAGCCCAGGAGTTTGAGGTTGCTATAGCTAGGCTAACGCCAGGGCACTCTAGCCTGGGCAACACAGTAAGACTCTGTCTCAAATTAAAAAAAAAAAAAAAAAAAAACTATTGGTAAGTATTCTTATTTTATGACAATATAATCATTTGCATAAGTTCAATAAGAATCTGTTTTCTTTTATAATAGGACACAATTGAAGACACTAGTTATTTTGCCAAAGCTTTGACTGGAATGTCATATTTTCAGATATGACCAGAGAGCTTTAAGGAACTGAAGTTGACATTATAAAGCCAACAGAAGCCCTTGGAAAACCTGGCTTCATACCCTAAATTCATGGTTTACACAGTTGCTTTGCTGTAAAGAATATTACTTTCTGAGAAGCCCAGGAACCTCAAGATATTTGGGGGACCTCAAGAAGAGAGGAATTCACCCAATTCATACAGGTATTATAGACACAGTCTGAGGATTAGTCAACTGCTTGGCTTAGCTTCTTAGCTCCCAGAGGCCCTCAAAAGTCTAATCTGAGATTCCTTATGTAAAGCTCCAGCAAAGCCAACTTAAAAGAGCCTGTATGATAAATCACTATTCTTGCTAAATTTATGTAAAATCAGGCCAAAATCTAAACTTATTTTGCAAATAAATTGGTCTTACTGTGATTTATCTTTGGTAGAAATGGGAGACCAGAGAGAGAAAAATTACATTTAAGAAGAAAACTATAGTGTACAAGTTATGAGATTCTAACCCTGTCCATTTTTTCCCCTTTTTCTGTATCCAGTGTCCATAGTTTTTGACTGAATCCTAAATTTTTAGTTTCCTCTGTGACTCTCCAGACTAACATATTTAATTTTTCACCCACCCTTCTGACTTGGAATCACTAAAAACTAAAACTGCCTTTTTCCTAAGGCCCTTCAAGCTGAAGCTACTCAACTTGGATTTAAAAAGAAAAAAATCAGGCCGGGCGCAGTGGCTCACGCCTGTAATCCTAGCTCTCTGGGAGGCCAGGGGGCGATTGCTCCAGGTCAGGAGTTCGAAACCAGCCTGAGCAAGAGCGAGACCCCGTCTCTACTATAAATAGAAAGAAATTAATCGGCCAACTAATATATACAAAAAATTAGCCGGGCATGGTGGCGCATGCCTGTAGTCCAGCTACTTGGGAGGCTGAGCAGGAGGATTGCTTGAGCCAGGAGTTTGAGGTTGCCGTGAGCTAGGCGTGACGCCATGGCACTCACTCTAGCCTGGGCAACAAAGCGAGACTTTGTCTCAAAGAAAAAAAAAAAATCACAACAGCTTTATTTGAACAAACTTTACATGCAACCTACTATCTACAAAAATCTGTCGGACTTTCGGATTATCACAAATCTTCCCAAATGACTGCCTCTCAGGCTCTAAAGAAACTAGTTTATAGGCTAGGTGCGGTGGCTCACGCCTGTAATCCTAGCACTCTGGGAGGCCGAGGCGGGCGGATTGCTCAAGGTCAGGAGTTCAAAACCAGCCTGAGCGAGACCCCGTCTCTACCATAAAAATAGAAAGAAATTAATTGGCCAACTAATATATATAATATAAAAATCAGCCGGGCATGGTGGCTCGTGCCTGTAGTCCCAGCTACTCGGGAGGCTGAGGCAGGAGGATCACCTGAGCCCAGGAGTTTGAGGTTGCTGTGAGCTAGGATGACGCCACGGCACTCACTCTAGCCTGGGCAAGAAAGCGAGACTCTGTCTCAAAAAAAAAAAAAAAGAAAAAGAAACTAGTTTACAGACAGACTACTGAAAACATTAACCTTTGTTTTTCTTGTTTCCATAGAAATGCCTCTTATTAAAGATTTGTTTGCCTACATCATATATTGAAGCCTAGCCTGGCATCTGCAACACCATCTCCTGAAATGAGACACAGCTGTTTAACTGGACTGGCCTATCCCCCCAAATGAGAGATGATTTAATGGGCTCCTTTGCCATTTGATTACTACCCAATTTCTCTCTCCACAGCTACCAACTCAGCTTATAGCATGCAAAACACCTAGGCAGTTTCAGAGGAAATGAAGGAGACTAGGAAATTTCACCCCCAAATATGGCACCCTGGTATGCTGATTATTTTAAATTAAGGCCCTTGAAGGGCCAGCAGACACTGGAAGAAGTTTTTTACTCTGACAGCACCTTATCTACCTAATGTCCAGACCTGCTAAAGAAGCAAATAATTACTTCTGGTCCTTTCCCTGAGTTTTCACTATCTTCACTCATACTGCAGGAAAAAAAAACACTTGAAGCCTGTTAATACACGTGGTCAGACTTTAGTCACAACAAATCATTGTCCACTTTGTGAACACAACAGACTGTCCCAGGCCATTCACTGTATGCTCTTCAAGCCCGTTGAATCCCCTTAAAAATCATCTACTATCCCCCTTAAAATCATCCACATTTCCCCATTTTCCTTATCACTATGAGAAGGGTGTATAAGCATCTGTACCCTACTGAGTTATTTGGTAATCATTCTCCTGCGATGGCCTCCTGCTATGCCCGTTAAAACAAAATTTATATCTTTCTCCTATAAACCTGCCTTTTGTCAGTTGATTTTTCAGCGAACCTTTAGATGGCAAGGGGAAGCTTTCTCTTGGCCCCTAATGCTATATAGGAGAAGACATAAAGCTTCAACTTTTTTTTTTTTTTTTTAGTAGTCCCTTCACTCCTACCGAAGAAGCACAGCAAGGAGCTTGGAACAGGTTCCTTTACAATGTATTTTTTACAATTCCTTTTGAATAGGCCTCAAAGTTTTATTCATTTTTGCATCCCCAGGATCCAGCATAGTGCCTAGCATAGAATGTGCACTCTGGAAATGTTTCCTGAATTAAGAAATGGCTGACACAGTGTGCAGGTACTACGGCCAGAAGAATAGTTTCAAGTCTCAGGCACTCACTAGTATGACCTTGGGCAAGTCGCCCTACCACGCCGAGATCAATTTCTTCTTCAATAAAACAGAAATACTACTACTTGCCTTGTCTACCTCATTGGCTTCTCAGAAGGCTTCACAAAATGAGCAGCACTGAAAAACGTTGTACGTGTGTGGAATCTTAACAGGGCTGCTGACTAGAATGAACGCTGAGATGGAAAAAAGCCTGGACTCAACAGTCAGAAGACCTTGGGCTGTCGCGCAGGGGCAACGACTAACAGGCTCCCTGTTTTCCCATCTTAAACACTAAGGTTTACATTCGTTGATGGTCAGACCCTACACTCTAATAATCTGTAAGTCCGCTATAGGCTAGGAACCTCAGGTGTCCTCAGAAAGGTAAACTCCGGGGTTCGGAGATGCACCCGCAGGAGCAGGGACAGTCAAGGTCGCGGGGTACTAACACGGGGGGCGCTCACCCAGTCAAAGTCACAAGGGTTGCCGTCTTCGCGTTGGGTGGGGAGACCATGGCAGAGCGGCGGCACTTTCCTCACAAGTAGGAAGGCAGCAGAGAGCAGGGCAGACAGAAGGTAGTAAGGTCGGGCGAGCCATCGTGAAAGTCGCGGGATCGAGTACACCAGAGCAATTAAAGGTGCCAGGACCGCCATTTTTTTGGCCCTTGCGGTGCCCGCCTCTCGGGGCGTCGGTAGGTCTGATCCCGCCTCCCCTACCATTGAGACCTCTATTGGACCAAATCTCGAATGCACCGCCTCTGAACCCGGAAGTGGATCTTTAGACACTATGGCAGGTCAGAACTGAAACAGGGATTTGATACTTTATTGGTCAGTCTAGCTGTCGCATTTCCCACCTAAGTCATTTTATTGGATATGCAACCAAGGCGAACAGAGACCTTAAAGAATTTGATAAGGTTGGAGAGCACTTCCTAAACGTACTCATAAAGCGACGGAAGTAGTAGCCAGAACAAGGCGGGCGGGGCCTGAGAAATCCAATGATAAGCGGCTTCTAGAGGAAGTGGGCGGTACCCCTTGGAAAGATTGTCCAATGAAAATCATCAACGCCGAGACATCGATGCAGCGGCGGGGCGGAGAGGACGATGGAGAATTTCACAGCACTGTTCGGGGCTCAGGCTGACCCACCACCGCCCCCAACCGCACTTGGCTTCGGACCAGGAAAGCCTCCACCCCCGCCTCCGCCTCCTCCGGGCGGGGGACCCGGCACGGCCCCGGCCCCCACCGCGGCTACGGCTCCTCCCGGCGGGGACAAGTCAGCAGCTGGTTGTGGCCCCTTCTACCTAATGAGAGAGCTGCCAGGTGAGTACTCAGCCTGGCGGAAGCCAGCCAATCGGACCACAGAGATGAGGTGGTGGGCGTGGCTATCAGGACGCCGGTGGAGGTGATAATTAACTTGGGCAGCACGTACCCGGACCGCTGAAAGTTGGAAGGGCTGTTAGAAAGCCCAAAGGGATGACTTGAATTCGTGGGATGAATTGAGAGTGAGTAGGTGTGCACTATCATTGACTATCTTTCGCGCGGTATCCGGGCACTGTCCCTGACACTGATTATGGCTCCCTAAAAAATAATCCAAGGTTTGAGTCTGGAACTCAAAAAGCCTGATTTATTTATAACATCCCTGAGGATCCAAGGTCTTAGCTTCAGGTCTACCACAAACTTGCTGTTGGTTTGGAGCAAGTTGCCCTTTTCAGGGCCTTGGTGTTTCCGCGTTTGTTCAAAGAAGGGCTTAGAAGTGAACCAAACTCTTAAATTCAAAAAATTATTTTGTTGCACACCTACTATGTACAAAGCACTGGTCTAAATGCTAGAGATAAAGCTGTAAACAAAAGTGACCAGAGCCTTGCCTCTTTTGGAGTTCATATGTCGGTGGAGGAGGCAAAGTGTAAACAAAATGATGTCAGATAATGGTTAATGCTAGGAGGAGAAAATATGATAAAGAATTAAGGGGATAGAGTGATTAGAGAAGCCCTCTCTGAGTAGATAACAGTTGCACTAACACATGAACATAGACAAAGAACCAGCCATGTATGGACAGGAGGGAGAGATAATTCTCTATACAAGAAATGAAGTTAGGCCGGGCGCGGTGGCTCACGCCTGTAATCCTAGCACTCTGGGAGGCCGAGGCGGGCGGATTGCTCGAGGTCAGGAGTTCGAAACAGCTGAACAGAGCGACGACCCACGCGCGCCGCACCGTCTCTCTATACAATACACGAAACGAAATACACTTGGCCAACTAATACCATTACGAAAAAATACCGGCGCGATGCCCGTAGTGTCCACGCTACTCGGGAGCTGAGCCATGTAGATCCGCTTGACCCAGGAGTCTGCAGGTTCTGTGAGCTAGGCTCGCCGCATGGACTCACTCTAGCCTGGCAGGCAGAAAGCGGGCACCTCGCCTGCGCTCCGTCCAAAAAAAAAAAAAAACCGACTCGAACGTTAGCACCGCACCCTGAGTGTGAAAAAACGCTGGAATGTCTCGGACAGAAAGACTATCTGTCTCTCATTGCAGTGAACAATAAGGAAGAGTAGCTGGGAAATGAAGTGGAAAGTTAGGTGGAGCACCTTCTTTTTTTTTTTTTTTTTCATTTTCTTTTTTTTGGGACAGAGTTCTACTTGTTGCCCGGCTAGAGGTGCATGCTGTGTGTCAGCCTAGCTCACAGCAACCTCTAACAATCCTGGGCCAAGCAATCCTCTGCCTCAGCCTCCAGAGGTAGCTGGGCACTACACAGCATGTGCCACCAATGACCTGTCTAATTCCTCTTTTTTTTTGCGAGAAGAGTCTCCACTTTGTTGGTCCAGGCTAGATGAGTCGTGCGTCAGTCTAGCTCAAGCAACCCTCAAACTACCTGCCTGAGCTGATCCTTCTCGCCTCCACAGCCTCCGAGTTCAGCTGGCTAACAAGGCATGCGCCACATGCCGGCTGAATTTTTTTTCTGGTGTTATATATATACTCCCCAGTGCCATTAATTCTTTCTTATTTTAGTAGAGAGGGGTCCTCGCTCTTCTCCAGGCTGGTTTTGCATACTCTGACTTGACAGTCCGCACCCGCTCACGGCGTCCGGAGCCTCAGGATTACAGGCGCTACGAGCCCAGCCGCCCGGCAATTTTTTTTTTAATATATTACGAGTTGCCAATTAATTTACTTTTCTTTTTAGTAGACGACCGGGGGGTACTATTGCTCAGCTAACGTTTGCGAACTCCTGACCTCGAGCAATCTGCCCGCCTTGGCCTCCCAGAGAGCTAGGATTATAGGCGTGAGCCACCACACCTGGCCAAGGTGGAGACCTTTATAAAGCAATAAAGGCATTCAAATCCTGAGTTCAAAGGGAAGCTATTTTAACATGGGAGTGACATGATCAAATTTATTTATTTTTAATCATTCAAACAGCTACGTGAAGAATGAAAAGTAGGGAAATCCGTCAGAAGTTGCTGCTCAGTAGTCCAGGAAAGAGATAATAGTTTGGACCAGAGCATAGCAATGGAGAAAAGTAAATGGAAGCAGGATAACTGTTAGAGGTAGCCCTGGTGAGGTGGTTCATGCCCGTAATCCCTGTAATCCCAGCACTTTGGAAGGCCGAGATGGACAAATTGCTTGGAGTCAGGAGTTCAAGATCAGCCTGAGCAAGAGCGAGACCCCATCTCTACAAAAATAGGAAAATTAGCTGGATGTGGTGTTGCTCACCTACAGTCCCAGCTACTTGGGAGGCTGGGGCAGGCGGATTGCTTGAGGCCAGGAGCTTGAGGTTGCAGTGAGCTATGATGACGCCACTGCACTCCAGCCTGAGTGACAGAGAGAGACCCTGTCTCAAAAAAAAAAAGAAAAAAAAAAGAATGTTAGAGGTAGAGCCAACAGGAATGAATAATTGAATATAGAAGTGAGGGAGAGAGACTAATTGAGGATGACTTGTAAATTTGGGGCTATGTGATAGTACTGAGACTTGGAAGATGAGGAAGGAACAAGTTTGAAAAGATGGAAATCAAGAATTGTTTTGGATATATTAAGTCACCAAGATATCTTTCAGGTCATCCCAACTCTTACTGCCACATCATGACTTAAGGAAAATAATATGAAATATTGGTATGGTACTTTGAAGTTCACGGCACACTTATATGTAATAGTATTTAATATTTAGAATAGCCCTTTGAGGTAGGCATTGTTATCTGCATTTTCTACTTGAAAAACTGAAGCATAGAGAGGTTGACTTTCCTTTGGTTAGTTAGTGGTTGATGTCCACCAGCAGTTTCTAAAGAAAAGATTAAAATCTTTCTTTTGCCTTACATATTCTGATTGTACCTATTTGTATCACTTAGTTGACAGATACTGAATATCTGCTGGGCAAATGCTGGGTATATGAGGAAGGGGAGAAGGGGAGAGAGATTAACAAGCCTAGTCCTTGCTTCTTTAATGAACTTAGTTAAGGTTGTAAAATTTGTAGTTTAAGGATAGTGACTGTATTTTTTGTCAATTCCAACTTTGTGGTCATGCCTCACACAACTAACTATATCTTAGCAAACTATATTGAGAACTACCTGATGGTTGTCAAAATGTGTTGTTATTCAGAATGACAGCAAGAATAAGATGTCACTTGAGGTGGACCTTGAAGAATTTATATTGGTAAAGAAAATTAGGAAGGATTTTTCCAAGAAGGAAAACAATGAGAGGCGTGCTTTCTATTTTTTGTTTGTTTCTTTTTTTGTTTTGTTTTGTTTTTCCGTGACAGAGTCTCACTCTGTCCACTCAGCTAGACTGCAGTACAATCATAGCTCACTGCAACCTCAAACTCCTGGGCTCAAGCATTCCTTCTGTCTCAGCCTCCTGAGTAGCCAGGACTATAGGCACACACCACCACACCCAGCTAACTTTTTCAAATTTTTCATAGAGACAGGATCTCACTATGTTGCCCAGGCTGGTCTTAAACTCTTGGCCTCAAGCAAGCAATCCTCCTGCCTCAGCCTCCCAAAGAGCTGGGATTACAGGCGTGAGCCACTGTGCTTACCCCTAGGAGTACTGCTTTCTAAAATATCTGAGAATGTGAGTGCCATGGATTGAAATAAAGAAGCCATGAGTGATATAGGCAAGATTGGAATTTCAAAAAATTTTTGAATCTTTATGGAATTAAGAAGTTGGGAATTTAGCCGGGCATGGTGGCTCATGCCTGTAATCCCAGCACTCTGGGAGGCCAAGGCAGGCGGATCGCTCAAGGTCAGTAGTTTGAAACCAGCTCTGAGCAAGAGGGAGACTCCCTCTCTACTATAAATAGAAATTAATTGGCCAACTAAAAATATATATATAGAAAAATTAGCCGGACATGGTGGTGCATGCCTGTAGTCCCAGCTACTCGGGAGGCTGAGGCAGCAGGATTGCTTTAGCCCAGGAGTTTGAGGTTGCTGTGAGCTAGGCTGACGCCACGGCACTCACTCTAGCCTGGGCAACAAAGCGAGACTCTGTCTCAAAAAAAAAAAAATCAGAAGACTATAATGGTATGAGGCAGTGCCCAGAGTTGTGAGGAGATACTGTGACACTGGTCTCCTGCCACTATAGTAGACCAGTCTTCTGAGGTGTTTGGTAGTAAAGGGAAGGAAAAGGATAGAGTAAGGCATAAAGGTATAGAGGAAAAGTACTTTGTTTATTTAATAAATATTTATTGAGTACATAATGTGTGCACTGTGCTGGGCACTAGCAATTCTAAATGAACAAGACATTATCTCTGCCCTCAAAGAGCTCACAGTTCAGAACCTGAGTTTTCCCAAGTGAATGATCATAAACAAACCACTTCTGTTATTTGTATTCTGTGTGTCCACTGTAATTACAGATGAAGTTGTAGTTAGATATTTCTACCCTTGCCACTGGGTCCTTATAAAGTTACTAATTTATATTGCGAAAAGTAAGCCATGCAGTATTTATATGGATAATGCCTTGCATGTATATAATACTTTATGCTTTTCAGTATGTTTTCATGTGAGCCTTGAAAAAAAAAAAATGAAGCATACTTAAGATAGTTATTATTCCATTCCACAGATAAGGGGAAACTAAGGCATGAAGGATAACCAGGATTAGAATTCTAGTTGCCCGACTTCTAATCAAACATTTCTTCTTCTAGGTAAAGTATTATACTCAGTATCATGAGGAAGAATAAAGATGTTGGTAACAAAAATGGTAGCTAGAAAAGTCTCCTGGCTCTTTTTCTGTGTAAAGGTAATTAGTGTTTCTTGCTAGTAAAAAAAGAGAGAGATCATTCACAAGACCCTCAAGCCACTGGGTCACATTTTGGCCTTTAGCATGGTTATAGCTGAGCTGTGAGGTACTGTTATCCTGGTTGTATCGAAGAATATAATTTCTCAGTAGTACATCTTATGAAAAGCACTCAGAACAGTATGAAGTAAACATCATGTATGTTATTATTCTGGTTAATCCAGGGAGAGTGGAGTGTTTCTTCATTGGGCTAGAGCAGTTTCCATTTCTGCCCTATTTGGATTTTTGCCTGTTTTTCCTTTCCCATTCCAGCCTACCATTCTATAGTATTTTTTTTTTTTTTTTTTTTTGAGACACAGTCTCATTTTGTTGCCCAGGCTAGAGTGAGTGCCGTGGCGTCAGCCTAGCTCACAGCAACTTCAAACTCCTGGGCTCAAGCGATCCTCCTGCCTCAGCCTCCCGAGTTGCTGGGACTACAGGCATGCGCCACCATGCCCAGCTAATTTTTTCTATATATATATTAGAATTTATTTTTTTTGCCAATTAATTTTTTTCTATTTATAGTAGAGACGGGGTCTCACCCTTGCTCAGGGTGGTTTCAAACTCCTGACCTCAAGCAATCCGCCCGCCTCAACCTCCCAGGGTGCTAGGATTACAGGCGTGAGCCACCGTGCCAGGCCTTATAGTATTTTTAATATTTATTTTATGTTATTTTCTTTTGCTCTGTTTCTTACTTTAAATTTAAGAATTTTAAATTCTCATTTAAAGGATTCCTCATTTAGGTTAAAATACAGTCCTTAACTTTCCTTGTGTGTCAATGAATAATAAAAAAAAAAGATCTCTACTTTTAGGTCTAATCTTTTTTATTTTACTTTGTGTTCTCTAGGTAGCACAGAGCTGACAGGCAGCACCAATCTGATCACACACTACAACCTGGAACATGCCTATAATAAATTCTGTGGGAAAAAGGTGAAGGAGAAACTAAGTAACTTCCTGCCTGACCTGCCAGGGATGATTGATCTGCCTGGTTCTCATGATAACAGCAGCCTCCGCTCCCTCATTGAGAAGCCCCCTATTCTTGGTGGCTCTTTCAATCCTATCACAGGGACCATGCTGGCTGGCTTCCGCCTCCACACTGGACCGGTGAGTCCCCTCTTGGGGAGGAAGGAGGCAAATGGGGAGGCCTAAAAGGCATGGAAGTGGGTTTTCTGTCTGTTCCTTCATAACTTACTGAGAACAGATGATGGGAGCAGGGTATTTCCTCCCTCTACTCAACCAGACCTTCCTTTGGTTCCTTCAGTTGCCCGAGCAGTGTCGTCTGATGCATATTCAGCCTCCTAAGAAGAAGAATAAGCACAAGCACAAACAGAGCCGTACTCAGGATCCTGTCCCCCCAGGTAAGAAGTGGTTCTATTCAGAGGAAAGAAACCTGACCTTCGGAATCCGATTTGACCTTCCACAGTTACACCTAGTTAAGTTCCTTACAGAGCCCTGGACTCCCAAATTCCCGAGTAAGAAACTGGTATGCTACACAGTCTCTTGGGCAAATAAGGACTTGGGACAGGGGCTCTAGCGGTGCCTCCATATCCTTTCTGGCCATTTGGAAAAAGCCATTGCTCCTGACTTGGGGTTTTCCTGTAGTCTTCAGAGTTCATAGCAGTAGAGGATTTTGAGCTCTACAGGTGATAGGCACCTAATGTCTCCTACAGAAACCCCATCTGATTCGGATCACAAGAAGAAGAAAAAGAAGAAAGAAGAGGATCCTGAACGGAAAAGGAAGAAGAAAGAGAAGAAGAAAAAGAAGGTAGAGTAGGGGCCTGTTGCCACAGCCCAGTGAATTTCCCTACATCTTACCCCTGTCCTAAGTAGGGTCCCTTTGCCTCAAGATGGACCAAAGACTGAAAACCCAGGGCAGGTTGCAGGTTTTTCCTGTACAGCCTAGTCAAAGCTAAGGCTAGTTCCTAGTTGTTCTTACTCCTCCTTCTTTGTCTCCCCCAGAACCGACATAGTCCAGACCACCCGGGTATGGGCAGCTCCCAGGCCAGCAGCAGCAGCAGCCTACGCTAACAGCACCACTGGACTCTCTTGGCAGGATGGCTTTTCCTGCTGTACTGAACCTGCTGTGAAAAGCTGCCTTCCAGGCTCTTGGACACTGCCTTGGGAGCATCCTACAGTTGGAACAGAGACCGGCTCCTGCTGTATGCTTTGTTGAGATTAAGACGTTAAGAGAGAGAAGGGCCATGCTTTTGTAAGGCTCAGCCCAGTTGGCTTTTTCATGGACATCTCTTCCTCTCCCCCAGGAAGATTTTCCTCTCTTTTGTGCAATTTGTCTGATTTAGGACTTGATCTGTTAGGTTTTTTCTTTAAAAAAAAAAAAAATTACATTTATCAAACTGGCTGAAGTGTCACTGCCCATTAAGAGGTAAGTGCCTTTTAGGGGTTAAGACAGTTTAAGACAAGGCATTGCCAAGATCTGACGGGATTTGGGTCTTACCTTCATATTATCTCATCAGCAGGCAGGGAAACAACCAAAATGAAATTGGGGAACATGGTCCAAAAGTGAGGCAGAGTTTACTAGTACTTCTCCAGAGCAGACAAGTAACACTCTGCCCATAATGCTGAGAACCAAGCACCTGATCTTCAGGCTGTCTGAAGAACTGATTCATTTAGGGCTTAACTGTGTGTTCTAGGTCAGTTTGGTGTTGAAACAGAATAGCCAACTGAAAAAGCACTCTGAGTCACTAAGTATTTTTCAGCAAGATTGCTTCTTAGGTCAGAAGCCTGTGTTCTTTTGAAATGAATCTCTGGTAAGCAAAGGTAAATGCTGCTTCTCTTGTCTTCTTAAGAACTTTTTACCTGCTTCATTCCTTAGTTAAGACAATGAAATTATGTGGCTAGCATGAAAACATTAGAAGCCTACCAGCAACATAGCCAGGTGTGGTGGCATGCACTGGTAGTGCCAGCTACTCAGAAGGCCAAGGCAGGAGGATCACTTGAGCCCAGGAGTTTGGAAGTTGCAGTGAGCCATGAAAATGCCACTGTACTCTAGCCTGGGAAACAAAGCGGGACCCTGTCTCAAAATAAAATAAGACAGCAACAAAAAAAGGTAGCCTTAACTATCAAAATGTAAAATCCTTTTAATTTTTACGACTAGGTAAGTGAAAACATCCATGAGAAAACCCAAACTAATGTAATCTGACTGAATTTAACACAGAACAGTTAAAAATCTGTTGCTTTGAGCCAAAGGTGTGCCTACGTAAGTGGGTGGAAAACCACTCATTCAACTTGTTTTAATCTAGGATTTCAGAACGAGAGTTTGTATACTTAAGTTATGGATGTGAAAATAGAGAGTTTGCTCACTTTCCTGAGATGAGTATCTGAGGATGCCTGTTTAAAATTAGGACACAGCCTTTTGCTGTTGTCAAATAGAAGACAACATTAGATATGGAATCAAATTGCCATCCATATCCAGTCAACCTCCTTTTAACAGGCTTTCATACATTAATCACTCAGCATCTCACCTTTGGCTATTTCCAAAATGAGCTTTCCTCTCCAGAACCAAAAATCCTGTTAAGGAACAACTGTGACACAAGCCCAGAGTTCTCTCAACTTTGAAATGGCAAAAAGCTTTGGTGGTTGCAAAAGACTTTTTGGGGGAATTTAAAAAATCACCCCAATAAAACCAGGACCTGTTTTAAGTGTTTAATTTCACTGTAGTACTGCCTGAAGATAGGCTGGGACCAGAGAAGCTTATGAGGGTCTCACTGTGATGACCTCCCACCAAAGATCATTCACCCTGCCTTAACCAGACAAAAATAACACAAGTCAGGGAGAGCTGGTTAGATCAGGATTTTTTTTTATTCCTTGTTGGTTTAAAATGGCTAATCAGAATAAAAAATAAAAGGGCCTCTGTGTAGAGGCTGGGGTCTCCCCTATGTAGAGGTTAGAACCCAGGTATCCCCTCTACCCAGCACCATACTAAGGTGGGCTGAGGGGTAACCCCCAAGGGACAATCGGAGGGGCCCAGGCCTGCCACTCCTCTCTCTATCCCCAGTTTTTGGCATGTGATGAAAAATATTGCTTTTTGGATTCTTCTCTCTTGGCCTTGAATTTTAAAATCGTGTTAACTGTGTAAGCTAGGGGAGGCTCTGAAGGGCTAGTTGAAAAAACCTATCCTAATCCCTCTCCCCCAAGAATGGGGATCATCCAGTATTGTTTTTTGAACTAGGCCAAGCTCTTCCTGATCTCCCCCCACCCCACCACCAGTGTCATGGAGATATGACCCCTTTCCTGGGGATACTAAATGCCAATGAGCCTAGAAAACTAACTCTCCTCTCCAAGTCCTTCCCTCTTCTGACCAAGACCCCAGATTCACCTCTCCCCAGCTTCTTTCCTGATCACTCAGCACCAAGAGGGGGTGCTATTTCCTTAGTTGGTAACTGGGACAAGAGAGGGAACCATGGGGAAAAGGAAGACTTTGATGTCTCTCCTCTTTTCCTGCTGGTCTAAGGAATGGGAAGAATTAAGATCCCCCTCCTTACACATATCCCTCCCTCATTTTCCCATCCCAGGATAGATATATAATTTCTTTGATATTTATAATATATATATATATATATATGTACACACACACCTGGTAACGCAGAAGAGGAAAAAAATAGAATCCGTAACAATAATAAAAAAAATTATTTCTGATTTAAAAATGATCTGATTCCCTCCAGGGCGAGCAATTGCACAAATGTCCACTGAGTCTGGTCCAGGGATTAAGGAAGGGAAGGTCTTAAAAGGTAAAGGGGGGTTGCTACCCCAAGTCTCAGGGCCCCAACTCTCCGACTCCCCAATCCCCACTGCATTTTAGAAAACACTCCTCATCCTCTTGGAATCGGTAGTCTGAAAAATGTCCATGTAGGGGAGGAGAGCCCCTTGAGGGAAGGAAGGTGGCCACCTGGGGCCCTTTGGTGTAGGCGCAGAGGCGTTAGGGAGGAGAGGCGCCGAAGGCTCACACCGAAATCTCATAGGTGGTACCACCAACCCCTGACACCTTCTTCACTCCTCCCCTTGTGGGGCTACTGAGAGGTGGCTGGCCTGGGCCAGGGGAGGCTGAGCCTATACTCTTAGGCTGCCCGTTGGATTTGCTGTAGGCGGTCTTGAGCTGTACTTCATCTCTGGGAAGAAAAGAAGAGATAGGTGTCAGAGAGTAAGACTCAAAACAGAAAAGGGAGACAAGTTTAAAAATTAAGAAACAAAAATGATGTACTTTTTTATATACATGCTTTCTTACTCAAACATTCTCTTTTGTTTTATTGTCCATCTTAAAACAAGCCCTATCCCCCTATTTACTATTTCTGATAGCTGCTATCTCATATACTTATTCCCAGGCAAATATTTTTAGGAAGATAGGATTAAGGAAAAAGCATTAATCTTCAGTCTCTTAACAGGAATTAGCTAAGAACACAGGTGAAGAGTGAAAATGAAGAACTATCAGGATTCCTGAGTCCACTTATACTAGGGTGTGCAAGCAAAGCCCTGATACCTTCTGTAGGGTGGCATGCTAATTAAAGGTGGCTGAGGGCCAGGATGGTACTAATACTTACTTGGGTGTCAGTAATGGCTGCAAGGCCACTTCTTCTGTCTCAGAAACACCAGAAGGGGCTTTTTGGCTGCTGTAAGACATCGATCGGCCCAGGTATGGGGCAGTTGGGCCCGGTTCAGGGGACCCTAGTCCCCGGCCCCTTAGCCCATCTGGCTTGCCAAAACGGGGGGCAGCTGGGCGTCCCAGTGGAGTCTTGCCCAAGGGTGATCTCTTCGAATCATCTGAGGAAGAACTAGTACGAGGGGCATGGCCTGAGCCCGGTGTTGACTGAATGCCTGAGTCCCCCAAGCCTGGTTCTTCCTCCCGGCCTGGGAGTGGGGGTGACTGGCGCAGCAACTTCTCTCGCTCCTGGAGGGAGGCCACGATGTGGCGTGACAGATTGTCATAACGGACTGGTGAGGGCTCTCGGTGTGCCGGGCCAGTTGACACCAAACGTGGGTGCCTCTCAGCTTCCCGTTGCTGGGCCAGTCGGGCTGACAGGAAAGGAGAGGTATAGCCTAAAGGGGGATCTGGCTCAGGCCCTGCCTGCACTGACTCAAAATCAGGGCTATCTGAAGGAGTGAGCAAGCTGTCATAAGACAGGCTTCCATTGCGTGTCTGGTTGGCCAGGCTCTTATAGGAGGTGGAGGTGGTGCCCTCTGAACGAATGGACTGCAACTGGCCCAGCTCAAAGCCTGTGCCCTGTGCTGACTTGAGGCTGGAGGAACGTGAGCCGCTGGATAGTGGATCAAAATGAAAGCTTTTGCCAAAGGTGGGAGAACGGAAGCTGTCTGGCTCCAAGCTGGGCTCTGAGCGGTAGCTGGGATGGCGGCTGCTCTCTGCAATTGAGGTTGGCTCCTTTAAGCTGTCCCCACGACTCAACTGAGGAAGAAAGTAAAGCAGACTCTTAGTGCTTCTCTTCTGACAGAAACTAGACCCCAGAGCCCAAGGAGTCAGTCAAAAACAGTATTTACTACGTGCCAGTAATATGCTTAGAACTTTCACAAGCATTATCTGGTTTAACCCTTAAAGCAAATCTGAGTTGGAACAAACAATATCTTGAGATGCAAGAAAACCAGGCTTAGGTTAAGTAACATGTGGTGGCAGATCTGAGTTTTGAACTCACATCTAACATTAATCAGTGCTTTTATCTATTATACTATATTGCCCCCTCTGATGAAACACATTATCAAGCTATCAAGGAGATGCAATTCCATGAATGCCAACAATTAGTAAAATGCCCTTGGTTTTATCCTCTCCCCCTTCTCCCTTTTCCTTCCCCAATCTTTTTTCTTCCAAAACAGCTGGCATATGTTATGACCCCACTTAGCATACTCAGTACCTTGGCGCTGGAGGAATGAGGCATGGCGGCTGATGTACTGCTGCTACTGTAACCCGGCCGATACTTGTACATGGTAGGTGTAGGGGGGCTGTCCTTGCCCAAGAGGCTGCTATCTGCAGGAAAAAAGGTCCAAGGGGCACGACTTTACAAGCTGTTCTCTCAATCTGCCTAGAGTTCCTTAAAGTACAGAGGGAGTAAAAGTTAGAAACAAGAAATACCCAGTAAAAGGGAAGTCTAAGGAACACGATTTTGCTGAAATCAAGACTGAAGACTCATAGTACCCCAGAACTCAAGGTGGGTTACTGTACCAAACAGGTGCTAAGATGTTCTGGTCTGTCTAGAGGCTGACAATTTCCCCCATAAAAGTCCAATTCACTGCCAATAGCTAAGTCACATCCCTTCTCTTCCAGCTGTCCAAAGAAGTGGCTGAAGTACCAACTGTTGGGTGGTGACAGCCACAACACAAGCAGTATCTCCCAGCCCTTGCATGTTCTCTTGACAGCTCATAAGTAAACTTCTTACTGTTGTCTTCTAGTTTTCTAGGATCTCGCAGGTCCAGGCAGCCCTTACCTTCATTAGTAGCCAGGCCGAGGTGTGTTCGTAGCCCCGTATAACGGCTCAGGTCCGGCTTAGGAGGAGGTGGAGGTTCAGCATCGGCAGACTGGCTCTCTGTTATCTCCAGGCTTCCCTTAGACTGGATAAATGAGGGGAGGGAAAATCAGATTTAGAGAAATGAGTGTTAGGACAACTTCAAAAGTATTAAACTGGTATAAGAAAAGTATTGGGAAATCAATAGTATATTCCTAAAGTGGGACTGGAAGACAAGAAAGAAGAATCAGTTTGGAGGCTGAACACAGTGTCTCACGCCTGTAATCCTGGCACTTTGGGAAGCCAAGGTAGGAGGATCACTTGAGGCCAGTAGTTAAAACCAGCCTGGGCAATAGCAAGACATCCATCTATACAAAAAAAACCCCTAATAATAATTTTTAATACTTTTTAAAAAGTCAGTTTGGGGATATGAACTGAATAGATTTGGAAATCTAATAGAGAAAAGATTTGTTTTTAAATTTTTTTTTTTTTTATTTAAGAGATACGGTCCTCCTCTGTTGTCCAGGGTCAAGTGCAGTGGTGCCATCATAGCTCACTCCAGCCTTGGACTCCTGGGCTCAAGCGATGCCTTAGCCTCCTGAGTAACTGGCACAACAGGTGCACACTTCCACACCCAGCTAAGTTTATTTTTTATAGAGAAGAGGTCTCGCTATGTTGCCCAGGCTGGTCTTCAATTCCTGGCCTCAAGCAATCCTTCTGCCTCAGCCTCCTAAAGTTCTGAGATTACAGGTGTGAACAACTGCACCCAGCCATATTTAAAATCAGTAAGTGATAAATTCTATAAGGAAAATATAAAGCAAGTTTCCATCTCTTTGCTGGGATGAGATTCCCCAAGTTACCTAGCTTTACATCCCTAAATTCCTCACCTTAGTTCTCCTCAGTTCTCCCTGGATGCCATTATCCATGATCTTCACAGTTATCTGCCCATCTGACACTTCTGGTCGAAGGAAGGGAGGTCTAATTACAATTGTCTTCTCTTTCTTTGGTCTCCCCAAATACCTGAGTGTCAAGAATGAGAAGCCTTTCATTCATTCACTTTAATATCCACTGGTTACCTACTATGTGAAACATTTTTACAAATAAAACAGTCCTACCAGACCAGTGAAAAGGTTAGCACTAAACCAATTTCTTTGATTCCATGAAGAACTACAGCAAGACTGGCCTTTGTGAGCACATACCTAAGTATGTAAAAGTAAATCTATCTCACCCATCCTCAACTCTCAAAGACTAACCTTAATGCATAAAGAATACCAACTGCACTCACAGGGTCCACTAAGGGATAGGGATGGGCATGTCTACCTTGCAGGCACTTACCATTCTAAACTGAGAACCTTTCCTAAAAGGCTGTCTTCCACCAGACCACCCCTATATCAGAACAAGCCCAAAGAAAACAAAAGGGTAAACCCTAGACTGAAGGGATAGATGTACCTGGGTGCTGGAGAACTGCAGAGTACACGGCTGACATTGTTACAGCAGCCATTGGTGAAGGGGTTTACACCTCCCCGGAATTTACCCGTAACCTAGAGGAAGGAAAAAAGGACCAGATCAGTCAGAAGACAGGAACCTTGACCTCCAAAGGCCAGAACATAAATCAATGATAAATTACTGTGTACCCACTATCTGAGGGATACAAAAATGAGTAAAACACAAACCTATCATCAAGAAACTTATACTGTGATGGTTAAGGACAGGGACTCTAGAATCAGGATCCTCACTGAAAATTCTACCTCATGGTAGCTATCTGACCCTAAACTTCAGCTTCCTCATGTAAAATGGGAACAATAGCTTTCTGAATATTGAAAACTAAGATGATATGCATAAGAGTAAGCAATTAATTTAATATGCACAAAAATCATTATTTTCCTTTAAGCAGTACTTAAGCTTCTTGAGGGCTGGCCCAAGTCTTTTACTGTTTCTATATAAACTCAGAGCCTAAATTGTCCAATATAGACTGGACAGTCTGTAAATGTTTATTAACTTAAGAAATGGCCCCTGTTCGCATGCTTTACATGAGGAAATGGGACTATTTCAGCCCCTACCACTAATGTATGCATCATCATAAAAGGTATTCATTCAGAGGTCTCCCATCACATCTCTCCATACCTGTTCATTGGTTGTGCGTCCCCGAGCCACCAGCACCACGTGAAATCCTGTGAGGCCAGCTACAGGGATGAAGAATAAGCCAGCCACACACATCACTGCCATTCTGATGCCAAATAGTCAAGGAAAACAGAGCAACATGGCCTCACCTTCCCTAGCACATACTGTAGCAATTTTCCCTTTGACTCTCACTACCAGAGGACTCAACTTTCCTCATTCCTCCCCAACCCAATCTCACAACCCACAGGCCTTGAAGGATACGTGACAGCCATGCGAACCCCTGAGAGTTCCTCTATGTGGTAGAGGACATAAAGGAGGCCAAAGCCAAACACACCCATTATGTGGGCTGTCAGGGAAAGGAGGAAGAGGAAGAAATAACGGTAGTTCCGGCGACCAATACAGTTGTTCACCCAGGGGCAGTGATGATCAAATTCCTAGGGACAAAAAGAGATAGACTAAGAGGCATTCTTGGACCATAGGACTAGATCACTTCTGTCAAGAAGAAGAATAAATGGCAGAGCTTAAGTTCTGCTTTTAGTAATTTATGATCATGTTCACCGCTTAACTTAAAACTAAAACAGGCTCATGCAGTTTATCTTGTTCTATAAATCTGTAAGGGAGGCCAGGCACTCTGGCTCACAACCGTAAGCCTAGCACTCTGGGAGGCCAAGGTAGGAGGATTGCTTGAGGCCATGAGTTTGAGACCATCCTGAGCAAAAGTGAGACCCCGTTTCTACAAAAAAAATAGAAAAAATAGCTGGGCATAGTGGCGCACACCTGTAGTCCCAGCTACTCAGAAGGCTAGGGCAGGAGAATCACTTGAACATAGGAGTTTGAGGTCACAATGAGCTACGGTGACACCACTGAACTCTAGCCCGGGCAACAAAGTGAGACTCTGTCTCAAAAACAACAAAAAATCTGTATGGGAGACCTTCCAGAGGTTGGTCAAAGGCCAAGGCCAGCTCTCAAAGTTTATCCTGTGCGACCAAGGAACTCTAAAGGGGACAAGTGTCAGAGGCTTTGCAAAAACATCAAGATTCATGAGGCAAATCTGGCAGGAACCTGCTTATAGCTAAGTAAAAAGGGATTGGAGTCAGTGAGGTGGTACACACCTGTAGTTCCAGCTACTCAGGAAGCTGAGCAGGCAAGGAGGATCAATTGAGGACAGGAGTTTGAGGCAACAGTGCATTATGATTGTACCCATGAATAGTCCCTGCACTCCAGCCTTGTCAAAATAGTGAGAGCCCCATCTCAAAAAACAGACAAAAAAAAGACTGGAAAAAGAGATAAGGATAAAAACAAAAGGGGATCCAGAAGAACAGGCAGGAAGAGAAATATAACTAAAATTTAAATGCAACAAAATGATTTTGTGGAAGTGAAAGAATGCAAAATCAGGACAAATAACCAAAAAGATAAGTCAAAGGATAGAAGGCTAAAGCTATAACTCTTGGTGTCAGGAAAGCCTATGCCCACTTGGGGTTAAAGCATCCCTCTTTTAAACATCTTTGCTAACACCTTTTGACAAAACTAGACTATGTAGCCAAGGTAGTTAGTCAAGACTATAATTCATCCAAGGGGTCAGGCACAGTAGCTCACACCTATAATTCTGGCACTTTGGGAGGCTGAGGCAGGAGGATCACTTGAGGCCAGGAGTTTGAGACCAGCCTGGGCAACACAGTGAGACCCCCATCTCCACAAAAAATTGTTAAAAATCACCCAAGCGTAGTGGTGCAAACCTGTAGTCCCAGCTACTCAGGAAGCTGAGGCAGGAGGATTGCTTGTGCCCAGGAGTTTGAGGTTGCAGTGAGCTATGAAGATGCCACTGCACTCTAGCCTGGGCAACGAAGCAAGACTCTATCTCAAAAAAACAAAAACAAAAAAAATCCAAGGCTAAGAATCTATCTATGGTTAGGAAGATGACAACACAGGTTAAGCATTGAGTCTTACCCTACGCAGGATACTTACCTCTACACAGTTGTCACAGACACTGCAGTGGGAACATCGAGGAGGACGGTAGAAGCGGCAGGTGGCACACCATTTCATGCGCACCTGGATGCCCTTGATCTCCACTGTTTTGTAAAGGGGAGCTCGGAAATCATCTTCCTTGTCCTCATCCTCCTCAGCTGTAGAGAGGGAAAGTTAGTTGAAAAACCGCTATGCCAGAACTGCAGTAAGCACCAGGGATGCAATGATGCTTAAAATATGGCTTCTGCATTTGAGGAATTCACAGTCTAATGGGTGAGAGAGACTAGGAATTAGTAACTGTAACACTGAGATCAGCTCCGTATGCAACACTATGGGAACACAGATAACAAAGTAATTTATTCTGCTTTGGGAAGTGAGGTTTAAGAGAAAATGACTCAGAGGTGGCATGGATATACATATGCTGATATTTCTTTGGTTTAAGTATTATGAATATATTTTAAAAGAAATAGATAATTTACATATCAAAGTACATATATAATGAATTTGCATAATAGTTCAATATTTACAAGTACATGATAGAACTATAGCAACCTAGGAGAGGGACTAACATCAACCTTTTTTCCTTGCACAAATCCTTTACCCAGAAAGTCTTCCCACTACTCTATTACTGTTGCTCAAGCCTCAAATGCCCTTTCTCTCAATTTTCAGCTATTGGATATGTACCATCCCATTTCAAAAGTGCAATGACAGGCCAGCACAGTGGCTCACACCTGTAATCCTAGCACTCTGGGAGACTGAGGCGGGAGGATCACCTGAGGTCAGAAGTTCGAGATCAGTCTGAGCAAGAGCAAGACCCCGTTTCTACTAAAAATAGAAAAAATTAGCTGGGAGCAGTGGCGCATGCCTGTAGTCTCAGCTACGTGGGAGGGTGAGGCAAGAGGATCTCTTGAGCCCAGGAGTTTGAGGTTACAGTGAGCTAAGATGACGCCACTGCACTCTAGCTAGGGCGACAAAGTGAGACTCTGTCTCAAAAAAAATAAAATACAAGGACATCATTTGCCTTCTCATCTACAGTAACAAATTGTTATTTATTATTAATCTAGGGAAAAAAATACATGTGAGAAGGAAAAATTAAATAAGCAATTGTGTAAGGATTAAAAATTAAGTTTTCAAATTTTACTGACTTATGGAAATGCTTATAATATAAATAAGTGAAAGAATGCAAAGAACTGTATAATCAGAAAGCTCCCACTTTGAAAACATAAATAAAAATAGACACAAATATATAGTATAGATATATGGCATATATAAATATATATATAAATAAATAATCTGCAATATATTGCAAGGATATATACTACAATACAATAGTAATTATTTCTGGGCTGTGAAATTATAGGTGATATTTTAAGATGTTGAAATAAAGGATTTTTCTTTTAAAGGAAAAGAATTCAAATGCTGCTTATTTTGAAACTTCTAATCCTTCCATACCATCATCTACCTGAAGTAAGCTCTTTCCTCCTCTTAAGTACTATAGGTCTTTGATTACTCTTACAACTTATGACACGGTGTATTTATTCATATGAATGTCTTCCCTATCTTCCTTTCTTGACTGAGCTATTTGAAAGCAATGAACTTTTAAAAAAATCATCCCAAATGACCATAATAGTGCCTTCAATATAGTACATCAATAAATATTTGATGAATGAACATTAAAGACTCATTAAAATAGCCTTCCTTGGCTGCAGGGACACAAAGTTCCTACCCATCACCTAATCTTTGAAACAGAAATCACAAATGAAGCACAGTGATGCAGGCTTTGGGACCACAATGAATTTCAGAAAAACTTCATCTCACCAGAGTTGCTATCCCAATCCTGTCTCACTCTTTCTTACAGGATAACCTCACATTTGAGAGGACAATTAGATGTCATCAAAAACAACCTTTGTCAGATTCTCTTCCTTCCACCTCTTATTTCATTGATGATGATTCTAACTCTCAACTCCTATCCAACAGCCTACTTCTATTGTAAGCATAACCTTCCAGTATGTACTGCAAAGCATCTCCATCCTCTAGATAATCTATTCAATTATCTCCCTGCTTCAGGTTCTCTCTCTTTTCTGGTTCCATTTCCTCATGCTACAAACATGCTAAAGTCTTCTGTATCCTAAAACATCCCCTTCTTCTCCCATAAGATATTACTCCATTTTCTGCCTTTTTTGCTTAGCTCTTAAAAGAGTAATTTTAATACTCATCGACTCTACTTCTTCATTTCCCATTTACTGCCTTTTAAACCATTATACTTTAGTAACTTAGCTGTCTCTCTTCCTCATATATACATAAACACACTATTAAAACTATTCTTGTTAAGATCAGTTACTTCTTAGTTACCAAAACAATGGGAAATTTTAAATTTCCATACTACTGAAGCTCTCTAATTTCTCAGACTGCCAACCATCAGTTAGCTACCATGTTTCCCCAAAAATAAGACCTACCCATAAAATAAGCCCTAGCAGGATTTCTAAGCATTTGCGCAATAGAAGCCCTACCTCGAAAATAAGACCTAGTGATGGGCGTTGGCTACGCAGCGCAGCGTATCTGCACAACCCATGCATTTTGTCGCGGAGCAGGGTAAAGAAGATGAGCCGCCCTTCTCATCAGCCCCATGAGAGCTCTATTGCTCGACATGAGAGATTGGGGCCAATGGTTCTAAAGGAAATAGAGTCACAAGAAATTCAGGATGGAATTTGGGGTTTGGAGAGTTATGATGATGTTCCAGAAGAAGACTTAACTATATTTGAATAAATGCAGATTGTTGTACCATACTTACATCCCCTGAAAGTAAGCCCTAGGGTGTCTTCTTGAGGAAAAATAAATATAAGACCCTGTCTTATTTTTGGGGAAACACGGTACTTCATGAACTTTCCTTCATTCCCACTTTCTCCTCCTACTAACCCTTCTTGCTCAATCTCTCTTCAATGGCTCTTCCTCCTCCTCTGCTCATAACAATGTCAGTGCTGATCCGATCTGACTTTGGTTCTTTCCTAATCTAACTCTTTCTCTGGACAATCTTATTCCTGTTGTTTCAAATACCATATGGTTGAAGACTCCTAAATCAATATCTTTGACTCTGACTACTTAATTGTACACTGGGTAACTCTATCAAGATAACTCATAAATATCTCAAGTTAACATATGTAACAGTACATTCTGTCTTCCTTCCCAACCTGTTCAACATACCTATAAGTCATATCTTGGTTTATAAAAATCAACATCCAACTTATCTCCCAAGTTAGGAACCTCGAAACTATCCCAGACAATTCCTTCACCCTCTCACTCTCCCTTAATAAGCTGTCATGAAAAATTATTGAGTCTATTTCTGAAAAATCTGTAAATCCAGCCTTGAATTCAAGTTCTCATTTGGTTTATATTATTGCCATTGTCTCCCAAAAGGTATCTATACATTTTTTTTTTCTTTTTTGAGACAGAGTCTCACTGTATTGCCTGGACTAGAGTACCATGGCTTTAGCCTAGCTCACAGCAACCTCAAACTCCTGGGCTCAAGCCATCCTTCTGCCTCAGCCTCCCAAGTAGCTAGGACTACAGGCATGCCCAGCTAATTTTTTCTATATATTTTTAGTTAGCCAATTAATTTCTTTCTATTTTTAGTGGAGACAGGGTCTTGCTCAGGCTGGTTTCAAACTCCTGATCTTGAGCGATCAGTCCCCGCCTCACCCTCCCAGAGTGCTAGGATTACAGGCATGAGCCACCATGCCCAGCCTATACATTCTTATAAGAATTATTTTTCTAAAAGTGGATCCTCTAAGTTCTCCAATTAAAGATCTCTTGCTGTCCAAAGGAAGAAGTATAATCTATTTATTTTAGTATCTAAAGACCTTCACAATTTAGCTCTGGGTTTATCTCCTGTCTCTTCCGGTCCCACCATGCACTATATCCTCCAGCCACATTGAGCTCACCATTTCATGGCTACAGGCTTCTGCATATGGTGCTTCCTCTGTCTAAAAATACCCTTCCCTTCCATCTTCTATTTGAAGTCTTTCCCACCTACTTTTAGCAGCATTTCCCCAATTTATCTATGCAGATGTAAGTGCAACCTTTTCTACGTTCTCCAAGAAGCTTGCTCATGCCTCCATTATAGTTTACATCACACTGTTATAACTGTAATTCATTATGGGTGTTATTGAACCTAGCAATACTGCCTGACCCATATGCTCTAAATATATTTCTACTGAATGGTTAAAAATCAAAGATTTGACCCAAAAGTTGTAACATATATTCCTGAAGACCGTGCCCTGATTTTCATCATCAGACTATCAAAGCATCCCATAATCTCAGGACTCTTAAGGCCCAAGGTCAACTGTATATGCCCAAATCATTTTTCAAAGTCAGTAAGGAGCTTCTAAGAGAAGAGAGGGAGATCTTACCTCGAGGGAAAATTCCTGGGTCCATGAAGGTGGCCATGCTGAAGTTGGCCAGCACAAAGAGAAACACAATCGCATTGTAGATGGGCACTGCAGGTGACACATACAGGCTTAGTCCAGGACACCTGCACAGATAATAAAGAAAATGAAGGACTGCCTCTAACCCTTTGGACACCAACCATATTCATAAAACCCTGTAAAGATTCAGCCCCATACCTTTATATAAATCTTGCGTGGTTTACCTTTGCCATCCCAAATTATCTTTATCCTTCCCACTAAATGGGTCTAGTTTCCCACAGAACTGCTCACTTTAGATAAAGATATAAGACTCAGACTCCTTCCTATCTTAACCGCCCCCCCCCACTAAGGTCTGTGTTCTTCAGATTCATTCTTAACCTATAGATCTTTCCACAGGTTTTGGAATCTATCCATATCTCCTTTCTAACCAGATGTAAGAACTAGGGACTGACTATGTAAGTGACACCACCTACATTCCCTTTTCTGGAGCAGCCTGAGGCTTCTGGATCCCAGCCACGTCCCACTGACCTGCACACTGGCCCAAAGCATGCAATACAAGTTGCCTCTCCAGCTCCTCCTCCCTCTTACCAGCTGACTTTGAATCACTTTCAAATGCCTAAACTTTCTTCACTGTGTCAGACATTCCTAAGAGTTTTATTCAATTAAAGGCTAGTTCTCAAGGTTGGGAAATATTTAAAAGCACTAATAAAAATGGATATCAAGACATAGAACTAGACCCACCGAGGTCAAAAAATGAAGCAAAGGAGTCGAGGAGGAAGATGGAGAGGATATCATACCAAAGCAGCCCTAAATTCTGTAGAAGAAAGAAACTGGCCATACATATCCAGTACTCCAAAGCATTCGAATCAAGAGACATGCTTTAGGTAAATTTTCTTTTACCAAAAAAGAATGTTCTTGTCCAGGATTAAGCTCAGTTTCTTTCAGACTGGGACTCTAAGTAGGAACGCTTCAAAAGCTCTTCCTTTCTCTGCTGATTTCCTGGGAATTTGAAGTTTCATAAAAACATCTGATGTGCTGCTTACTTTGTCAGGAGTGTCAAATGCCCCCTCTATTGTCTCAGCTCAGGGAGAACTTCCCACTACAAGACAGTGGCTAAATATCCTAATCTGCTTTGTGCTGAGAACTTAATCTCTAGAATTAGGACAGCATCTGTCCTTGTCCCCTTTATCTGGACCAGTAAGATGGAAAGGAAGAGCTCACTGAAGGAAAGGAAGAACAGGACCAGGAGAATAAGATAGCATATGATTCTGGAGGATTAATCTACAGTGGTCCTAGACTCTGTCAAGAGGTGATCTGTCCCAATCAAAACAAAAAGCACAACCACGAGTAGTGATTCTGAACAGTTTGGAAAAACAAGCTCCTTAATGAGAATTAAATAAACCAAAGATAAGAAACAAAATTGTCACAAAGCATTTCACAAATCTTTACCACCATCATCTATTTATGCAAGTTCCATCCAGCCATTCATTAAAAAAATTTTAAGTAAATATTTATTATATGCCAGGCTTTTTAGATAGTAAGTATGAATTAACTTTCTGCTTCTCTTGATAGGTCACTACATAATTGGCAGGCAGAAAAATGAAGCTGGAAGCGAGGGTGCCAATTTTAAGGACAAAACAGACCTTCAGTCACAGTTTTATGCTATCATCAAATAAAGTTCCCTATGGAAACTGCTTCCTCTGTGAGTTCTTTGGTTCAGAAAAGATGTCCCCTGCCTTGGCAGTGTATAGGGCTAGAATATAATCAAGAAGGAAGAGTCCTTGCACAGCCGCACCTCAAAGCCTGACCACCTGGGTTCCTTAGAAGGGAGGGAGAGAAACTGAAAACCAGTCATCCAGGTCAGAGCCCCTCCCTAGTGCTTAGCTGTCGCTTCAATTTCCGCCTGGGGAAGAAGAGAAAGGGTGACTCACTTGACTCCTACAGCCTGGGAAGATAATTAGAAGGGAAAAAGAAATTAAACCTTAGAACACTGAGGTGCCCATAATTTTAAAAGTCTCATTCCTAGAATTGGCCACTGTGGCTACTATGGCCTCTTTAGCTTCTGAAAGAAATAAGCAAGGGTATCCTGTATCCCTGAGGGAAACTAAAGTGAGTAAGAATGAGATATCGGCCCTTCCATAGGCTGAACTGTCAATCTTTCTGACCCCATTCTTTTCTGTTTCATTTTAAGCAAAGCAGCTCACCCAGTTTCCTGGGTAGCTTGCCAACCTACCCCTGGATGATGAACTTTACCACACAACCTTTTTGATATCAACCCATCCCAGATCAAGTGTGCAATCCTATATTGAGTTCCAGTATCTCTTGACAAAATAAAGCCTGCCCCCCACAGTGGCAGAATCTAGAAATGATGCATATAACTCAACTTCATGGGCAGGATTTGCTTCTAGACCTATTGCTGCTTCTAATCTTAGCACTCCAGCTGAGGGAACACCCAACCAAGGTGAGGCATGTGTGAACAGAGCCTGTTTCTGCCATATTCCAAATTCTGCTTGGCCCGAGGAAAGGTTTTCCGTTTCTATAGTACTTTGCCAGATTCCTAGGTGACCACCCCAAGTGGCCTGTCTGAATCTGTTGCTTCTGATGGAAGGAGATGAGGCCAGAGCTGAGGAGAGGAGTTGTTGAGGCTTGTCCTCAGACTATGGCAATAATCACAGAGCTCAAGAAGCTTAGGGAGTGGCCACAGCCCAGAAGGCTGGCTGACTCATTGACAGAACTCCCAGACCTATACCATCCCAGGTAAAACAGGTTCTTCTGCCCACCCAATTCAGCACTCCTGTTTTCAAGGCCAAATAAAATTGGGAGAGTGGGTTCCAATATTCATACTCCTGAAACCCTGTTTCCTAGCCCTCTCTAACATTTCCTATTATAAAAATGGTTAAGTTCCTGGAAAGAAAAACAAAGTTGGAGTCCAGAAGCCTTGGATTTTAATCCCTGCCTCAATTAATGCTTTGCTATGTAGCCTTAGGTAATCCACAGGAAACTCTACAAGCTTGTTACTTCAGCTACATAATATAAATATGAGAATAAAGAAGAGTATCTGAAAAGCTTCTGGAATTCTTTTTAAGCCGGCTAGCTTAATAGTGAGCATTCACTGGATGGAAGACACAAGAAAACATTATTAACTATCACCATCATCATCAATTATCATTCCAGCTCCACCTTCATCCTTAATTCCACTTCCCAAGGTACCAGGGATTCAAGGACACTTAAAACAGAGGCATTAAGCTCCCCAATAGGTCTATGCATTCCACCCATGCCTAGCATGTTGCTTGAGCATATGAGTAGTGTTCCTTATTGATGAGAGAATGCTGGAATGAATGTTCCACTTCCTGCCCCTGGAGGTCCTCACTTAAGACTGCTTTCCTGAAGAGTACAAGGGAGGCCAGGCACAGTGGCTCATGCCTGTAATCCTAGCACTCTGGGAGACCAAGGCAAGCGGATCGCTCAAGGTCAGGAGTTGGAGACCAGCCTGAGCAAGAGCGAGACCCTGTCTCTACTAAAAACAGAAAGAAATTAGCTGGACAACTAAAAATATATAGAAAAAATTACCCAGGTAAGGTGGTGCATGCCTGTAGTCCCAGCTACTCGGGAGGCTGAGGCAGGAGGATCGCTTGAGCCCAGGAGTTTGAGGTTGCGTGAGCTAGGCTGATGCCATGGCACTCTAGCCCGGCCAACAGAGTGAGACTCTGTCTCAAAAAAAAAAGAGTACATGGGAATACAACTTCTCCCTTTATAGGTAGGTAAGTCTCTCTTTAAAACACTTGATTTGTGGTGCCTCTGTAACTCGTGCTTTCAAGCAGCTGAATGTTAGATGTAGGACCCGGGCACTTATTCCTGGATAAGAAAACAATGTGGGAAGGAAAGGAACAGCCTCTTCTCAATTAATGCCTTAAATCACGAAGCTGCTCCCACTCAAATCAGGTGCTAGCACCTCTACAGTTAGGGGGGAAAAAAGATCAGAGAAAGGGCCATCGAGGCTGCCCACCTCTCTCTGGGTAAAAAGGTTGGAAGGTACCAGAGGCCAGCTATATTATGGATAGGAGCCTGGAAAGATCATCATGGATTTCTGGACAACTCTGACTTTTATCCTCCCTTTAAAGGATCACTTGATCCAGAGCCCCTATCCCCAACCCCTCACCACGGGCTTTAGAAATGGACAAAATGAGACACTGACTTGACTAATTCACAACTAGAGACTTTAGAGAATATACAATTCAGTGATTTCAAACGGTGTTGACAACAGCCCGAAGGAGGTCTCGGGGGATCCCAGAGAGGCAAAGAGGAGACACCAAGTGGCTGGGCATCTACATGTCACCCTCAATTGAACCAGTGCAGCCCTTCTTATGTTTATTTATATATAAGATTGCATTTGAAAAAGGGTCATGTTGCTTAAACTGCTCTAGGTCAACTACCTCATTATAGAGAGGAAGAACTGAAGTCCACAAAGGTTAACAGACTTTATAAAAAATAGTCTCCTGACACTCAAAGAGCGCTTATCCCACTAACCTAGCATTGCCCTCTTGCCAGTCCCAAAAGGAGACGAAACTATGATATATGAGGATCTACGTAGTTATCTTAAATGAAAAGTCTAGTGCCTAACTGGGAGGGAGAGGGTTATTTTAGAGCACTCTTCCTTTCCAAGTAGTGAAAAGACAGGATCCCCATCACTCCTGCTTTGTTTCAGTACTGGACAAACTCCGTGAATGAAAGGGATTAGGATTCTGGGGGGGAAAGGCTCAGTTGTCCTATCCAAGCTTCTCTGGGGCACAGGAAGATCACTATTTCTTCGATAACCAAACTCAACTAGTAATTTCTGTTCACAGCTTTCCCTACTTGACAGAGAAACATGGAGGTTACATTGCTCCTAATTAGTTGAAGCCTACATGCCTCCACTAATTACATCTGTCAGCTGAAAGGGACTCTTCCTCCTACACCCAGTCCTCTAGGTCCCAAAGTATTCTCACCTGGGGCTTATACTGATGTAAGAATAGCCAGTTGTAGCATGGTGAAGAGAACAGGAGGAGAATAGAGCAGATACAGATTTAAGGTCCCACATAGGAGCTGTTTCAAAGAAAGCTTCCCTCTTAGCTCCCCATTTGAAACCATAAACCCTTTTCTAGGTTGTATTATGGTTTTAAACAGGGGGTTCTCCAAGAAACTGAACCTCAAAAAGGGCAGAATCCATGGGAAACCAGTTTTTGAGAACAGTGGTGCCTCAGCACAGATAAATGCTTATAGAGGAAATATTATTGTTAGATGGAGGAGGGGAATTTCAGAGGTACCAAGAGCTAAGTGATAGAGTAGGATCAACAGGGTGTATATGCCTTCACAAGGTGGGTAAGACAGACCCTTGGGGGAAAGGTGAGTCCAGAAATTGGCCATGTGGAAACTAATGTGGGGGTGTTGGGAGAACTCAAACTATGACTTAGGACTCTTCTAACTTCAGATTAGAGGAAATAATTCCAGAGTCAATACTGTCCTCCAAAATCCTTTTTCCTGGGGTTGAAAGACCATGGAATAAGGAGGGACCCTACTTTACTGGCATCAGGGAATGAGAAAGTAGGTTAAATAGCTTCAACTATCGGGTTGAGAAAATGACTATGTCAGGACAACTCTTTGTGGGGAAACTGGTATAACCAGCCAAGCACTTCAATGGTTCCAGATTAGCAAATTAAAAACAAGGATTCTGCTTGCCCTATCTCAAGAACAGATAGGTTGAAAGAAACTACTTAGTCTCTTGAATTCCCTAGCTTCTCCAAAGGCTTTGCCTCTTGACAGAAAACAGACCCTTCCCAATTACGCAGGAGTGTCAAACTTGTCTTGTACATATACCTCCTGACCCAGCACTACAACTGCTACAAGGATACTATACACACACACACACATGTTTCCCTTCGTTAAAACCTTGATTCTACTCACTAGCCATATTAGGAGAAACCAAAACAAGTTCTGAACTAAAGACTCACCCCTCCTTTTTGGTAGCCAATGCATGAAGGACAGAACACTGAACATGTTGTTGACTTTAAGCAAAAGAAAAAGATTATAAAGAAAAGCCAGATATAGAAGAACAGGGCTGTCTCTAGATCCTTGAGGGATTCAGCAGGTGTGTTCAGGCCAAAAAATCTGTGACTTCTATACTTCAGAGGAAGAGGTGAGAAGATGCTGCTCATATTTTAGATATTCAGTCTTTCCTTCCTTGTTTAAACACTAGATAGAAATACATCAGTATTACTTTACTAACTCTTTAGGCAAAGTGACCCATTTTTTCAGAATTTCCTTTTTTTTTTTTTTGGAGACAGAATCTCACTCTGTTGCCCAGGCTAGAGTGCCATGGTGTCAGCCTAGCTCACAGCTACCTCAAACTCCTGGGCTCAAGCAATCCTTCTGCCTTAGTCTCCCAAGTAGCTGGGACTACAGGCATGTGCCAACATGCCCGGCTAATTTTTCTATATATATTTTTTTTAGTTGGCCAATTAATTTCTTTCTATTTATGGTAGAGACGGGGCATCACTTTTGTTTAGGCTGGTTTCGAACTCCTGACCTTGATCGATCTGCCCGCCTCAGCCTCCCAGAGTGCTAGGATTAGAGGCCTGAGCCACCGCGCCCCCCTGCCTTTATTCTTTACTTCATTTTCTTCCTCTTTCCAGCAGCCTCATATTGCTCTGAATAGCACC